CCTGCAGACAGTAACGATCTGAGCAGGAGACAACCAGGATGGCACCAGACACTTGGAGACAAGATTTCTCATCAGTCACAGCTTTCACCTGTATTATGCCTCTGTATATGACTGATGTGAGCTTTGAGCAACCTGGTCTAGTGGGAGGTGTCCCTGCCCATGGCAGGGGGGTTGGAACTAGGTGATCTTTAAGGTCCCTTCCAACCCAAACCATTCTGTGATTCTATGATTTTTGCAGACTGATTTACACCAAGATGAGTGAGCACCTTGCATGTACTTTTCCAAATGTTTGTAGAGAAACTTGGAACGTTAAGTTCCTTCTTGATGATTCCTATAGCAAAACCTCAGTCTTGCACAATCCCCTCTTCAGAGCAGCTATGGGGTGAAGGGCTGGATTGAGACAAGGATGCTGGTGTCCTGGTCCCAGGTGAATGCTTCCATTCCAAGCTGTCACCTCCCCCACGTCTATCCCATTCGGGACCTGAATCCAACAGCACTGCAGCACAGCTTTTTTAAGTACAGCTTTTTGTTAGAAAAATAAAGACAAACTGTCTGCAAATCAGAGGAAATACAGAAAAATCTAGGGGAAAGAGGTGAATCTTGTCGCTGGAGGATCCTAAACAGCAAAAGGATGCTGGGGGGGGTGATATTAAAAAGAAGGACAATTGCGAAATGTAATTTATTTTGCTTTGTAAAAAGAAACATAGGGAAGAACAGCAAACAGCATTGGATCATATGTTAATATTCCAGTGGGTGTTCACGAGTCCCGCTAGTTCCTCTGTCTCCCGCATGGCAACCTTCTGCCTACCAATAAATAAAAACAAAGTCATAAAAAATACACCTGGGAAATAATCATCTCCCTCTGTGTGGATTATACCGGCCTTTCCCCACCTCTGTCTGCACCAGCTCGCTCCTTTGGGAAGCCACCGGAAGCGTTTGCAGGCAGAGCTTCATCGGCATGGCGCGGCGCAGCAAACAAATTGTGAAGGGCTGGGACCCTTTTTTGCATCCGTGGCATCTGCAGCGACTGTGTGCACTAATTATGTCTAATAACCACTGGCCGTTGCAGCCTTGGTGCCTACAGCCCCTGCTCTTTTCCCAAATAGATTGACCGCTGTGGGCTAAAACCCCCATGAACCAATGGGGATGTCTTCCTCCGAGCCTGGCTCCTCTTGGCAGCCCATGGAGATGTGGCCAGGAGAGTCAATGAAGTCATAGATTCATAGAATGGTTTAGATTGGAAAGGACCTTGAAGATCATCGAGTTCCAACCTCCCTGCCATAGACAGGGACACCTCCCACTAGACCAGGTTGCCCAAGGCCACATCCAGCCTGGCCTTGAACACCAGTCCCAGACACTCATTCCAGACTGGGTGTCTAAATAGTTAAAAGCCTTTTTTTCTAGTGGGAGGTGTCCCTGCCCATGTCAGGGGAGTTGGAACTCAATGATCTTCAAGGTCCCTTCCAACCTAAACCGTTCTATGATTCTGATAGGGCAGAAAAATCACTTTCTCCATCTCTCCTTTTCTCTCCTTTGATTTTAAATGGAGGTGACCGGCTCAGGTGTTTACATCTGTGCTGCAGAGACATGAGCTCAGGTGAGACAAAACCAGCCCCACAGCACGGCACACCCGCAACTGCTGAGACAGGGAAAAATAAACACTGTCCTAATTTGTTTTGTTTTCTTACTTGACATTAGGACAATTTGCAGATGACTCTTTGTTAGAATAAGAATTCATCATCATTCACCCCACGGTGGTCAAACTTTTCTAGAAAGCCACTGGAAAAGGAGAGTCCAACCAGGCCATGCTCATGCTCTACAATCTGTCCTCCTCGGTCTTGTTTGAAACATCATAGAATCATAGAATGGTTTAGGTTGGAAAGGACCTTGAGGAACATCGAGTTCCAACCCCCCTGCCATAGACAGGGACACCTCCGACTAGACCAGGTTGCCCAAGGTCACATCCAGCCTGGCCTTGAACACCTCCAGGGATGGGGCCTCACCAGCCTCTCTGGGCAACCTGTTCCAGTGCCTCACCACCCTCAAAGTGAAACATTTCTTCCTAATGTTTAATCTAAACCTGCCCTCTTCCAGGTTAAAGACATTCCCTCTTGTCCTATCGCTACATGCCCCAGTAAAAAGTCCCTCTCCAGCTCTCCTGTAGCCCCCTTTAGGTACTGGAAGGCCGCAATAAGATCTCCCCGGAGCCTTCTTTTCTCCAGGCTGAACAGCCCCAACCCTCTCAGCCTCTCCTCATAGGAGAGGTGCTCCAGCCCTTGGATCATCCTCGTGGCTGTCCTCTGGACACGCTCCAGCAGGTCCATGTCCTTCTTCAGCAAAGCCTTTTTCTTCTTGTATCCATGCTCTAGTAACACGATCTGTTACTCACCACTCATAATCCCCCTGGTTGGAAAAGCGGTCACCTAATCAGGGCAGAAGTTCTGCCGTGTGATGTACGTAGCCGCTTTCCGATCATCCCCAGCTCGAGTTTGTTTATATGCAGTGGGATTATGAGCAAGACATAATGTGAGTTAAAGAAATCAGGATCAGTTAGGAAAGGGGAGCTGGATAATTTATTCCGGGCTGTCATTTAATTCCTGGGAGAAAATCCTCAAACAAAGGACAAGGCGGGAACCACTGGTCAGCAAGGGCCGAGCCTGCCCGCTGGCTCTGTAGCGTGCAGAAATAGGGCAGAGCTGTGCGAAGATTACTGGAGCAAGAACATCTTGCACACACACAAAAAAAAAAAAGAAAAAAAAAGCAAAAGCGAGCTTGAAAGGACACAAAGCTTTCAGGAAACAGCAATCTTCCACCGTGGCCTGCTTTCCCGTGAATGATTTAATTCCTTTCTGCTTTTCATGTAATAGATTAATGTACTATTGTCATGGTCTGTTATCATTTCACCTATTTATGGGTGATGAATTTACCACCAGTGGAACAGATGCAGGGAAAAAAAAAAGCCGGTTAAAACAACAGAAATGCCAAAGGAAATCTTTAAAATCAAACAGATTACTGGAGGGAGGGGGGAAGAACAAAATGAAAATGGTTCTTAATTTTGCGTAACTATCCATTTGGCTTGTCTAGCGACCACGTGGGGTTTGAAGACAGGCTGGCCCAGATTTTGCAAGCTAATAGCGGTGTATCAAGCCTTCCTTCGGCTCCTGCCATCGCTTCATGGCATCGGAGCTCTTTGCCGTAATTAACGGTAGGATATTAATTTAATGGACAGGACGCGGAGCAGCAGGGGCTGCAGTGTGGGGGATGGAGTGCAGGGCGCACGCCCAATCCAGCAGCGGTGAGCGCTGCTAAAAGCGTGGAGGGACGGGGATCATTTCACATCGGGTAATTTTAATTGGGAGAGGAGGGGGTTGCTGCTTGAGCTCCAAAGGCACGTACAGGTCCTGAAAGTTAGCACTGTGTGGGTACGGTGCTGTGCCTCGCCGCCTTCGTGCAACCTCGAAGGCACAACCCAGCGGCTCAGGAGGGAACGGGAGGGCGGAGGGTGCTGCTTGGGGCATGGGGAGCACGTGGCTCCGGGGATGGGGTGGTGAACCCCCTTCTTGCTGTCGCTGAAGCAAACTCTGGCAGTAACTCCAGGATGCAAAAGCAGCCAAACCTCCCTGGCAAGTTGGAAATGGCACTTCAAGGGATTTCCCAGCAAAGCCCTTCCTTCTTCTCCTCCAAAACTCCTCTGAACAGCTGTCTCAGGTGGCCTTGGAAGTTCACCTTGGAGGTGGCCTCCAAGTGACTAAGCTGGGTCAGAGGGGTCCAATGGGACAGCGCAGCCCATAGGGACAGAATCTCTGTGCCAGATGTGGGAGGTTCATCCGCACCCGTGGCAGGAACAGCCTCTGCTAACGCCCAACTCCACCCAAGGTGGTGGGGTGCTGAGAGCAACCTAACGCCTCCTTTTCTTGGCAGAGCAATTAAACACACCTTTTACTGGTGCCACACTGTGGTCATGACTGCAAGTGTGTAACACAGAGGACCACTGCAGAGGGTTTCTCCCTACCTTGGTGTGGTTGTACACAGCACAAACCAGTGGTCTTCAGGTTTAGGAGCCACATCTTGGCATTGCAACTGAGCACGTGGTGGAAGAAAAAGGTCTGGAAACGCTCCCAAATGCTGCTCTGAGACTGTGGCTGTGCAATGAACGCCCTCAACTCCATAATAAATATGCTCAGGGATCACCCTGCACAATCAACACGTACATGGGGTTATTTTAAACTAGGAAAAACGATGTCTTGATATAAACCCTGCATTAGTTCCCAGCCAGGGCTCTTATTCTGCTTCTGCAAACTGGGACACATGGGTGGGTGTTTGCCCTCCACCAGGAGTGTTACTGATCTCAGTGGCCCTTCCCCAACTGCCATCAGGGTCCCCATCCCTGAGTCCTTTGGCCATGATGTCCTCCTTTATTTCTGGCTGCAATGTTTTCCTGCGCTGCTCTGCGTGCCTGCAGGACAGCTGGTGCTGGTGTTGGCTGCTGGAAAGCTCAGGAGCAACGATGGTCTGCTCTGACTTCTGCCAGTAAGTTGGTGATGGCAAGTCTTACAACATTTAGTGAGATTTTTAGTCTTTTTTTTTTTTTCTCGAGGTCCAGCTCTTTGAGTCACATGAATACACCCAAAATCACAGATTTCATTTACCTGCTTAAAAACCTGAGCTTCTCAGCCGTCCTGTTAGGAAAAAAAACCAGCTCTCGAAATGGGGACTCATATAAGAAATAAAAAAGAAGCCAAAATATGTGTTTATATCCCTCCCCTGCTCCCAAATTTCAGTTTGTCATCGAGTTTTGATGGAGGCTTGATTCAGGGATTGCTGCGTGCTGAAGTCCGGATCCTTGGAGGTTTTGCATTCCTGGTTCCCACCAAATACTGTGAGATGTTCCCATGGGAGCAGCAACCACGGGACCATGGACCTTTCTGGCGGACACAGCACCCGCATCCCCAAGTGAGCAGGCATCAGCCCTTTCCTGCCTGAGTGCTTGATCCTTGCCATCATGGGACTTGTAGGACCTCATAGTCGTCAGCATCAGCCTCTGTCTTCACCAAGAGGATGGGGATGCTGTGAGCACCCATTGGTTCCACTGTCAGCACATAGCCAGTTGCCAGGTCCTTAGGGGTCTCCTCTCCCTCACTAGGAGGACTGCGCTTCTTGAGGCGGTTCCTCTGGTGCCTCTTGAAATGTCCAATGGTGGTATAGCTTTGCCCACAGTCAGAACAGATAAATGGACCCCAGAGGGTGTGAGTGAGCTGGTACTTCATGAGGTTGGCCTTCTGTGAGAAGCTTTTGCTGCACTGGGGGCACTGGAAGGGCGCCTCTCTCGTGTGGACCTGCTGGTGGGTAATCAAGACCTCCTTCCTCTTGAAGTCCTTCCCGCACGTGGCACACTTGAATGGCCGGTCCTCAGCATGGGAGGGCTGGTGGAGCCAGAGCTGGGCCCTGTCAGAGAAGACCTGCCCACACTTGCTGCAGCAGTTGGGCTCATACTTGGTGTGGACCTGATGGTGGGTGATGAGGGCAATATCCTTGCGGAAACCTCTCCCACAGATGGCACAGGTGAAGGGCCACTCCTCACCCTGGGGTCTGAGGAGAACTGAGGCTGGCAGAGGCTGGTGCTCCCTTGTGTGGACCCACTGGTGGGTGGTGAGGGCAACCTTCTGAGTGAAGGCTCGGCCGCAGGCAGCACAGGAGAAGGGGCCACACTGGTGAGAGTGTGGCTGTGGCAGTAGACAACAACGCGAGACTTGTCAATGAAGGTCTTGGGGTAGTCAGCACAGAGGAAGGGACACTCTCCAGAGTAGATGTGGTGGTGGACTGCCAGCTGGGCCTTCTGGCCAAAGCCCTTTCCACACTCGCTGTAGGAGAAGGGCCGCTCACCAACAGGGAGCCACCGACAGGGGACAGCTGAGCTCTGCTCATCCTTGCCAGCTACCTTGGCATTGTCGCTGCCATTGGCATTGGTCTTGACACTGGCATTGGTGTTGGTGTTGGCACTGGCATGGACATTGCTGTTGCCATTGGCATTGGTTTTGGCATCACTGTTGGTGTTGGCATCCGTTTCAGTATTGGTGTTGGTGTTGGCACTGATGTCTTTGCCGGCCCCTTTGTCCCTGCCATGCTCATGGACACGGCAATGCTTGACCAAGGCAATCTTCTGGCAGAAGGTCTTGTCACAGGTGGGGCAGGGGAAGGGCCGGTCGCTGGTGTGGATGCACTGGTGGACAGTGAGGCGGGACCTGTCGCTGAAACGCTTGCCACAGTCACCACAGTGGTAGGGCCGCTCACCAGTGTGGATGCTCTGGTGGGTGACCAGCTGTGTGCGCTGGGCAAAGCGCTTGCCGCACTGCCCACACCCATAGGGTTTCTCCCCGGTGTGGGTCTGCTTATGCTTGGGCAGGTCCCCCCGCTTGGCAAAGACTTTGCCACAAGCCCCGCAGTGGTGACCCCAGCCCTCGGCATGAGCCCGCTGGTGGTTGGCCAGATTGGCCTTCTTGGTGAACATCTTCCCACACTGCCCACAGGTATGGGTACCGGTGGGGGACTGGCCACACTCTGCAGCGCTGGGGGTCTCCTGCTCCCGTACATGGACACAGAGGTGAGCCATGAGGCCAACCTTCTGGCTGAAGCACTTCCCACAGGTGGTGCATGTGTGGGGGGCCTGCCGGGAATGGTGGCCCTGGTGGTGCTGCAGCATCTCCCTCTTGCTTCCAAAGTGGTCCCCACAGGCTCTGCAGATGTGGACATTGGGCCGCTCATGGGTCTGCTGATGCTGGGTGAGACAGATCTTCTGCCAGAAGCACCACCCACATGTGGGGCAGGAGTAGGGCTCCTCCCCAGTGTGAATTCTCTGGTAGGTCACCAGCACTGACTTCTTCTTGAACTCCTTCCTGCAGGTGCCACGGTGAAAGATCTTCTCCACCACTGGAGTGGATTCAGCCACGATGGCCCTGGCAGCATCCTGCTGTGCTCCCTTGTGCTGTGGACCTGCTGGTGCTTGATCTTCTGGCGGAAGAGATGGTCACACACTTCATACTTAAAGGGACGGTCACCTGTGTGGATCCGGTGGTGGGCCACCAGCTGTGACTTGTCCACAAAGCTCTTCTGGCAGCTGTTACACTTGTAGGACTTCTCACCTCTGTGGATTTGGTGGTGCACAATGAGCTGCAGCTTCTGGGTGAAGTTCTTCCCACGATCCAGGCACTTGTATGGCCACTTACCTGTGTGGATCCTCTGATGCTCCTTGAGTTGTGATTTGGTGATGAACCTCTTGCTGCAGTCAGTGCAGGGGAAGAGTCTCTCACCCGTGTGAATCTGGAGATGCTTGCTGAGGTCCACCTTCACCTTGAAGTTCTTCCTATACTCGGTACAGGCACGGGGTTTCTCCCTTCTCTCAGGATCACTGTGTGAGCTATGCTTGCCTTCCCTGTTGGCCCCCTCTCCAGATCTGATGGCTTCTTCGTTATGCAGGTCTCCAGCCCAGTCAACATCGCCCTCCTTCTCACAGCTTTCAGCCTCTGTCTCCTTCTTCTGGGATTTCTGGTGGGCCGCCAGAATGGCCTTGTGCTTAAAACTGTACCCACAAATCAGGCAAGTGTGTGACATCTCCTGAATGTGGCTGAGAAAATTCTCTACCTCCAAGAACTTCAGTGTCATCATGGCAGGCTGTTCCATCACCTGGTTCTTCAGAGGTGGGGGCCTAGGTGGTGTTCACTAAAAGAGGCACCACTGGGGGTTCTCCTGGCCATCACCAGCAGCTTTCCCTGCCTGCCAGGGCTGCTGGGAGGTGGTGAGCATGGGAAAATACCAGCACTGGTTTGAGTTAATCTTTTTTAGATGAAAGTCTATGTTATCCTTCATGAAGGCTGAGCCTGAGAAGAAACCAAGGCAGGTGTTATTGTCAAGGCTAACAGGAAAAAACCTCAACAAATCAAACATTTTTAGAGTGGTAAGCTATTATATGGAAAAGAAAATCATAAATAAAAGCCCAGCCAAATGTAGGTAATTCTAGGAAAACCGAAGGCTACTGGAACTGCCTGGCACTAGCTGGTGTTTCTCCACCTCTCCATGTAGTCATGACAAGAAACTGATGGTTTGGGGAGCTCCTCCTGTTGTGCTGGTCGCTGAGAAGGCTTGAACACCACTTTACCTTCAGGGGAGCGGTAAAGGATGGTGGTCATAACTATCAAAGACCAACTCATGGTCATCATCACCTCTAGAAGTAAATCCCTCTCAGTAAACGGTGCACCCAGAACCACTTCTGGAGGATCCCTTGGGGTGGTGCAGTCCCTGCTCTGAGCCAGGATGACCAGGCCAGGGGCTGGGGCCAGGGCCGGGGCCAGACATGTCCCATGTGAAGAGTGGTCACTGACACCATTTGTACCTCCTTCAGTGCACTGGTGTAGAGGGACCTTCTGGGACCACAAGGGGAAATGTTGAGGATGAGCAAACAGCTGCTTGTCTCTAGGACATACCAGTTTGGGCCTTCAGACAGCACCAAAATCTTACATCTGTGAAACAGAACTGCCCAAGCATTGTCTGAGGCTCATCTGGCTGTGTGAACCCCGAGGGGCTCCTGTCCCTTGGCAGGTACCTATTTATTTCTCTAGAGATTTTGTGTCACATCCACTTCGGTGAGGGGACAGGGACATCTGGGTCACAGCTGCAGCGAGTCAGACTGGAAGCAGAACTGAAACTCACACCAATGTCCTCAGTTCCCTGTGCAGCACCAGGGCAGACACCAGAGCCTGTGCTGAGCTGCTGGGGCTGGTGACCAGGAAGATGTCTGAATGGACAGAGAAGTCCTCCTGGTGTCCAAGAGGACAGCAAGAACCCAGGTCCTTCCCCTGTCCCCTTGCCCTGTGGTTGGACTGCCGAAGGTCCAGCTTTGCCTTGGTGCCAGCTTCAATTTGCAGGTTGTCACACCTGAGCCAGGAAGGGTACAGCCACAATGCCACCAACATTATTGACCCACCTGCATGAAAAGTCCAGGCTGAAGAAGAACCCCATTTGCCATAGACTTTCTTAATGGGAGAACCAGCACCAAACTGCCCCAAGAACTTATCTGGGGCAGCTCTTGAGGAGGGGTCCCTGATGGTGGTTCCAGCCAGCCAAAACTCTCTCCTCTCCTGCTCCTTGACTCCCAAGTGTCCCCAAAGTGATGAGGTGTCCTGAGAAGCCCCTGCCTGACCCCTCAGCTGAGCAAAGGGAACCCTGATCCAGCCATCTCAGCAGGCATCCAGCATCTCTGCTCCTTTCTCACCAAGAGAAAGGATGGGTGTTGGGTGAGATGTTCTCTGGGGACCTTTTAGTTAGGCTGAGAAATGGAGGTTGCTCCAAGTTGTGGCAACCAACTTTTCCAAGCCCAGAGATTACTCCGGGCAAACTTTTCTCTCTGGCTGTTCCGTGAGCTGGGCTGTTTTTCCCAGAGATGGCTTCGTGTCAGCACAGCTGCCTGAATTTTCCTTTGAAACACATGAATGGGAGCAGCTCCTCAGCTGGTGCTCTGCTCCTTTCACTGGGAATTATCCCCCTGACCCCAGCGCACACACAGTCACGGGCAGGCACAGCCCCTCCTTGCAAGGCAGAGGCTGGACCTATCAACTCATTCCCACCCATGCCTCCATCACTCCTGAAAGCACTTGTTGCATAGATGCCCCAGAAGCATCGTTTTTAGGCTGGTTTTTAAGGACAGATGCCCCTTCCCACGTTGTGCAAAGCCACCTGCTCCCATGTCAAGCAGGACCAGCTCTACCTCAGACTCCACCGATCACCTCCAGCCAGGGCAGCAAGTGAAATCTCTCTGGCAGGATTCAGCCTGGGAAGGACAAGCAAGGCGATTTATCCCAGCCAGGGCAGTTTGCTCCACCACAGCCAACCTTGGGCAAACGCTCCAGCTTTGTAGTGGTGACCCCAACTTCCAGAGATGCCCTGGGATTCCAGGACCCCCAGATTCCAGCTGCTGCCCTGGGATGCTGTGGGGACACATGCAGACACCACGGAGGGGTTCAGCCCTGAGCCTCCTGTCCTGGACCCAGCCATTTACTGACCTGTCTCCCTTCTCCCTCAGCAGCATGTGGGGCTGGAAGTGTCCGAGTGTCATTGGCAAAATTTTCTTATTTCTACCCACTTTGAGCTCTTCTTCTTCTTCCAGCTACTTTGTTCATGCCCGCTGGTGCTGACTCACAGGAAGCCTGTGTCAGTGATGTGAAAACTACCCAGGGGAGGAGAGACGGAGACAGAGGAGCTGGGTCAGGGAGGGAGGGGGTTTGAAGGTAGGAAAGAGCAGCCCTAAAACCTCTCAGGCATGGGTGGGGGGATCCCAGGCCAGCACTGCCTGCTCCCCGCTCCCGCGCTGCCCAGGCAGCAGCTCCTGGGAGCTTCGCAGGGATGCTGCTCGCCCGTTCACTTTGGAGAATGCCTAAGTTTGGTGGCGGAGGGGTTGCTTTAGGGAAACGCGGTGCCCACGCTGCAACAGGCTGGAAATAGCTTTTTGATTTACATTAGTTCTCTTTTTTAATTGCTATTTTTAGGTAGCTGAGCTGCACTGCTTTGCATTGGAAGTCCCCATTATGTTCCTGTGAGCCCTCACTGTGGTTGCTTTCACTCTGTTTGTGTGGCTGACCCTCCTTAGAGTTGTGCAAGCAAGCAAAGCCATCCTATGCTCCTCTTCCGTCCTATTCTCTTCTTCCATCCTATTCTCCCCTTCCACTCTGTTCTCCTCTTCCATCCTATTCTCCTCTTCCATGACCTTTTTGTCTGTGGATCTCAAAACACTTTGTGAATGGGAAATGCAGTGAGGCGACTTGAAAGAGGACATTTGATGAGACAGTGGCAGAGCCCAGGTCTGCATCCTCTACTAGACACGGTGGAGAGGGTCTCCACCCAATGGGTCCAAGAAAATGGTTCCTCCATGTGGCTGTGAGTCTCCTTGTGCATCTCCAGCTTCCAGGGGAGGCTGGAGTGCCGGTTCCTGGGTGCTTCGTAGCAGTCAGCAGGCTGTCTAGATTAGGCTGTGGCTATAACCAGCAGCGCTGATGCCTGCAGAAACCCCCAGCAAATACATGGTCCTGCCAGTCTGGGTCATGTAGTAGTTCCTGGAGCATTTGGTAGCTGCTGGACACGTACTAATTCAGGGTGATGAAAAACCCAAGCCATGTCTCTGAAACAAATGGTGATGTTCTTGGACACCAGAGCACAATTTTCTCAACTCTCCTGTTTTTACCTGAAACTTTAAGCCTGAGTCAGAGCTGGAGCCAGGGATGAGTCCCAGGGCAGAGCTGGATGATGCCGTCCTGAGTGGAGTTTAGCTGTATGGATGCAAGCCAGCCTGGTGCCCTCAGGGCTGGAGAACTGTCCTCAGCTCAGCTGAATTACTCCCACAGATCCAGCCACTTCGCCTGGCTGGCTGTCACCAGCACCTTGCACACAGCAGCTCAGGTAGTACAGGTTACAGAGTTGGGAGGACACGCTCTCAAAGCTAGGATTTTTTTTTTTTAAATAGCAACTTTAAAAAATCAAAATAATTGTACTGTAAAAACTGAGTTCAGCCTGTGTTGGTCATTGCATGTTTTGTGCTCCTGGTGTTTTCTGATTTCAAATATGTGTGCGCTGGTGTCGCTTAGAAGCCAAACCACTGTCTCCTGGCATCACCATTCTCATGAAGTGAGTCCACAACTGTTTCAAAGCGTGACATGGGGGAACAGAAAAGAAGGATGAGGGTATGCATCTGACGTAGGTTACTTATGGGATTCTGTGTAGATCCAAAGTTTTGCCTCGGTTTCTCCATCTCTAAAATTGGGCTGAAATACTGTAACTATTAGCTCTGCCTTTTACAGGAATGTAGTGTCCTCAGGAAAAAAAAAAAAAAAAGTTATTATATCCCATTTTTGAAACTGTAGAAAAAACAGGTCCAGTTTTCCTGGACTTTTTGGGTAGGAATTTGAACCCTCTGGACCACCTCATGTCACACTTATATCTCACAAGTGGCTTGCCAAGTGACCGCAAAGAGCAGTGACACTGACATTCTCTTTGGTTCTCTTTTCCCAGTTACAAAATAGAGAAGAAGGACAAAACCCAGGAAAAAGTAGATGTTTTAGTGTTCTCTTTTTGTTTTGTTTGGGGTTTTTTTAGTTAAGGAAGTGAGGTGAGACAGATTAAAACACCTGGCTAGTTGAAGGGGAAGCCCCAGGCAATGGAGAAGTGAAGTCCTCTGATATCTGTGACCTTATGCAGTTGTACCAGATGCCTTTCTTGTCTTCACGGGGGCGGGGTGATATGTGGTGAATTGGTTGACAAATTGTCCTGGTGAAGACCAGATACAGAGACATCATCCAACCTGGTGGATGCAACTTCATGCTGTTGTTACACCCTGGAGCAACTTCATGCTGCTGTTACACTCAATTAACACTGAGGAGCCTTTGAAAGTGGGGGTCCTGCTCCTTGCCACCGTCTGATCCCATGCTGTCGTGGGACTGTGGGTGCATGATGAGTCAATTTAGTCCAATGACTTGGGAAAGTACTCTGGAAAAAAATCATAAAAAAGAAAAATCCTTTAAGTGCTTCCCACTGCTCCAGGCAGATGAGTCTTCTTTTCCATCTCTCACACCTGCAATTCTTCAGGTCTGCTCTAGTTTCTTTTGTAAATATTACGGATC